GGCCAATGTGTAGGAGGCTTGATCTTCATAGTCTATCTCCATCTGTGTGGTGATGGCACCTGTGTCCGGATCAATCTTGAACTGTGGAACATTGTCCTCCATGATATAGGTAATACGTGCATTCTCACCTGTATCTTCATCTGTGGCACTGATTACCACAACAGTTGATCCAATGGGTCGGTCTTCGCTGAAGGTCTGATGGTAGCTTGCGCTCTGGAACACGGGTCTATGAGTGTTAGCATCAGTTACATTGATGAACACCTGCGTGGTGTCGAAGCGTGTACCATCAGAGGCAGTGACAGTCAGAACATACTGGCGTTCCTGTTTGTAATCTAACGGCAAAGCCAGCGTGATGAGTCCACCTCCGCTTTGACTAGTGATGGCAAAGCGGTTCCGCGTATTACCACTGGAGATCTGATAGGTGACCACACTGTTTACATCACGGTCCAGAGCTGTAACAGTTAACACACTGGTCCCTACAACAGCATCTTCATTGATTTTTAGCGAGTATAGCTTTTCGGTGAATGCAGGGATGTTGTCATTCACATCTAGGACGGTGATGCTAACGCTAGCTGAGGACGACATCACTGGAACACCGTTGTCTCTGGCTTCTACTCCAAAGGTGTAATACTCAGTGGTTTCCCTGTCCAGCTCAGCACTGACTGTTATCCATCCAGTGCTGTTATTGATGGTGAAGGGAAAGCCCGGAGTGGTGTCTGTGAGGCTGTAATCCAAACGAGCATTTTCTCCAGAATCAGAATCAATGGCCTGAATGTGAATGACAGAATATCCAATGGGCACGTTCTCTAAAACGGTGGCTTGGAAAGGTGTGCTTACAAACATAGGAGCATTGTCATTCACATCCACAACTTGGATGACAACAATGCCTGTTCCATTAATGAGAGGAGGCCTGCCTCCATCCTGGGCCTTTATGCGCAAGTTATATTCTCTGATAATTTCGTAGTCCAGAGGGTTTATGACATCAATGGCTCCGGTAAGGGTGTGAATGAAGAACTGACCTTTTACATTGCCGCTGATTATACTGTAATGAACCTTAGCGTTATTGCCCTCGTCTCGGTCAGTGGCTTCTACCTGGGCCACTTTAGTGTTAACCGCCACATTTTCTGGCACCTGAACTACATATCTTTTCTCACTAAACTGTGGATAGTTGTCGTTTTCATCTTCAACTGTGATGTGCACTGTCGCGGTAGCACTGCGGGGCCCAGGGTCCTTTCCTTGGTCGTTGGCCTCTACTATCAGCTGATACTGGGCCATGGTTTCTCTATCTGGACGCACGCGAATCTTGACCAGTCCGTTCCGAGAATCAATTTCAAACCCAGAATTAACACCCTGGCCATTCACAATCTTATATACCATGTCCGCATTGGATGGTGCATCTCCATCTGTCGCCCTGACTGTAATCACCTCAAAACCAACTTCCACATTTTCTCGTATCCTAACCCTGTACTCATTCTGTTCAAAAACGGGCCCGTGGTCGTTGGTGTCACTAACTGTAACGGTCAGGGACGACGTGGCTACGCGTCGCGGTGTGCCATTATCAGTTGCTGTGACTTTAAACACATGTGTGTCTTTAACTTCTCTGTCTAAGGGCTGGACAGTCTCAATGCTGCCGGTTTGAGGGTCTATCCGAAAGAAGTCGTTGGAACGGCTGTCGAGTAATGCTTCCATGCCATACTCGATCTTCCCCGCCTCTCCAGGGTCGCTGTCAGTCGCTTTGAGGGTGATGACTCGCGTACCCGCAGGCTCGTTCTCCGGCACTGAAACCTGGTAGTACGGTAACTGAAACTGAAGCGCTGAATTCACGGCTCGCCTTATTCTCGGTTTCCATTTATTTGATACGTGTTGCATAGAATGTAATAATGATGTTTGGACTGAGGCGAATCGTAATTTAAGGCACATAGAAAAGGTCTCACCGTTTGAATCGTGAAACGAACAGCGAATAGTGTCTTTAAGGCGTCTCAAGTCCGTCTCCAAACAGTACGCGTCCTTCACGAGTAAAGTCCCGTTACGCACAAACACATTCAGACGGTCTGAGGTGCAAGAAGTAGCAAACACACCAGAGTTTCTTGTGAAGGCAGGTAAATAGTCTTTCAAACTAAGGAGTAAATCACCAGGAGAAAAGCAGGAAGTTAGTCCCAAGTTATAAATGCAATCCACGTTAACATCAGGCTTAGTCACTCTCTTCCTTTTATATTTGAACACGCAATTTCGTCCATGTACAAATACATTGAAATGTGCGTTAACTAGTCCTTCAGTTGTCAATGACTGGATTTTAAAATAAAGAGGCAGCGCGCTGTGAGGGGCGCGCGCGCAATCCACCTCTCCATTTAAACGCACCACTCCATCTCTCCAGTCCACTTTAATAAACATCCCAATGTACTTGGAAGTAAAAGTCCTGTCTATTTTATACGTCCAACCTGGTCCCAGTGACAAA